TGAAATTACAAATATATTCCAGTAGGGAACCGGTTCTAAAATAGTTCTGTCTGAAATGACAGACCAGAAACCGTTTGGGAACCGTTCCTCTTCCGGATTATATCGTCTGTCTGAAATTCCTTGTATTCTGTATAGGTAGTTTAACAATGTGGTCAATGCCTAGTTGTAAGGATTTACCAAATCGCTTTTACTTATATTTATTGTATTTATGTAAAGTTGTTTTATGGACTGATATTTTATCTGTGTTGGTTTTTTAATGTTGTGAGCCGCCCTGAGCCGCTTTGGCGGAAGGGCGGGATAAAAGTTGAATAAATACATTTTAAAAAATAAAATAAATAGGGGGAAAGATTTAGGTAAAATGTTGATTTTCTGGCCATAACATGAAATCAGGAAAAAAAAATGGCCGTTGATTCTGCTTCAGGATAGGACTCTTTGGTCATGGTTGATGCTTCCAAGTGCAGATGCTGAACCCTACTGGAAGCCCCTATCTCTTAATCACAAACATGGAATCATTATCTCATTTTCTTTCTAGAAGCCCACGGATGTATCTGCCATATAACCTGCATCCGACCTCACTTTTTATCTTAACAGCAATCCTGTGAGGCGGGGAGGGGGAGGGCAGTGGCTGAGGGGCAGAGCAACTGTTTTGTACGTAGAAGGTCTCAAAGTTCCATCCCCAGCTAAACAAATCAGATAGAAGATGAAGCAAATTGCCCCGGAGCAATTTGTCACCACCCACAAGACAGCCTTTTCAGTGTCCTCTCAGAAATAGGCTTTCCAGTCTCCAGGTGATGGCTGGAGATCTCCTGGGATTATGACTGATCTCCAGGCAACAGAGATCAGCTCACCTGGAGAAAATGGCCGCTTTGGGAAGTGGCCTCTATGGCGTGATACTCCATCGATGTCCCTCCTCTCCCCAAACCTGGCACTCCTTAGGCTCCCCCACCCAAATCTTGAAGTATTTCCCAATCTGGAGCAGGCAACTCCATCTCAGAAACTACATGACTTCCTTTATTTGGAGGTGCAGTTGACTCTTGTACTTTCATTGACACTTTTAATGCTGATAGTTTTTATGGTTTTAACACGGTGTTTGGGCATTACTGTGTCTTTTGCCTTTATTGTAGAGTGTTGTGTGAATAGAAAGACTGGATATAAGGGCTTTTTCAAAACAAATGAAATAATATTTTTTAAAAATGCGATTGTTATCCTTTGTTTGACCACGCTCTGTGAGAGCTTGTATTTTTTCTTCCTTTCCAGACCTTTATTCATCACCCCAGAGAGCTGTTGCCTGTCAGAACTGTAGCTCAGACAGTTGCTTTGATAAGGGAATAGGACTGTAGTCTATTATGATGTTCACCTTGCAGACAGTTACTGCCTTGGCTTCTCCTTTTATAATCCACTTTCTGCATTATGGCATGCCATGCTCCTTAGATAGTATTTTATTTGCATAGTTTTTGCATTTTATAATCCCAGTCCCGTTGCATTGTTTACTGGATGGTTTATGCTGTCTGACTGATTTTAAAAAAATATTTTGTAATCTACTTTGAGTCTCAGTGAGAAAAATGAGCTATAAATGGAGTACATCAGACTGGGCTGAATGGACCATGTAAGGCAGCTTTATGTGTTCACATATGTGAGGTAGTGACTAGCTCAAACTCACTCAAGTGAAGCTCCTCCCTGAGTGGAGGGTTTGTCTCATACTCTGTCCGGCATGTAACCAGCCTGGTGTAGCGGTTAAGAGTGGTGGACTCCTATCTGGAGAACTGGGTTTGCTTCTCCAATTTTCCACACGCGGCCAGCTGGGTGACCTTGGGCCAGCCACAGTTCTCTCAGAGCTCTCCCAGCTCCACCTGCCTCACAGGGTGTCTGTTGTGGGAAGAGGAAGGGAAGACGATTGTAAGCCACTCTGAGACTTCTTTGGGTACTGAAGAGCGGGGTATAAAAACCAGCTCCTCCTCCTCCTCCTCCTCCACAGCCGCTTCATGTGATTCAGCTAGATGGGAGTCCAGTAGCACCTGAAGGGATTTTCAAAGTGTAAGCTTTCAAGAGTCAAATATCTGACAAAGATATCTGATGGGGAACTTTGACTCTCAAAAGATCATAACCCGAAAATCTTGTCGGCCTCTAATGGTGTTACTGGACTGCTGGCTGCCCTACTCTTCTGCTGGCTGCCCTCTGACACTAACTTCATGTGATAGCAGTTATGACATCTCAAGTGGCTGCTGGGAGAGCCAGTTTATTTGTTTACTGTGTTTCCCTCCTCCCCTTGTTCAAGAAAGCTCTGGATGGCATACATCAGATTATTCCTTTTTATCAGTGGAACAAGCACATGAGATTTCCTCTAAGGAGTTCAGGATGGCATAAATGCTGTGCATGTCCCTTGTTTTATGCCTACATCTACTATAGGGTTGCCAGGCAGTGCCTGGCAGCTCATGGGAAGGCTGTGGGTGGTGATATGGATGTGTGTGTGTGTGTGTGACACTGGCTGCACCGTTGCATCAGTTCTGGTAAAAAAACTGGATGTACCAGTTTTGTGCTGGAAAGTCTATGGTAAAAGCATAGAGTTTCCAGTGAGTCTTAGAACTACCCTATGTCACTTCCTTATTTTTACTGGAAGTGACATGGCACTGCATGCGATGCTGTGGTTTAAATTTTTCTTCTTCTGCTGCTGCTCAGAGCAGTGGCAGGCAACAGGAGTGGGTGGGGATGCTCTGCCTCTACCAAGGAAATTGTACCCCTAAAGTACTGTAAAGTAGGCTGAAGGAAGGAGGGAGTGGCAGAGAGTGCCCTGAAGTTGGCTAGTGAGCTTCAAAACTGAGTGCGGGTTTAAAAGCTTGTATCCCGATTCCTAGGGCTTTTCTGCATTCTTATTTTACTCACTGCTAAATTCCTCTTTCTTCTGTTTTTCCCCCTGTTCTGCGTGTGTTTTGCTTCCTCTGGTGGTCAATTCAGTATCACACAGGTTT